GAAAATAAATTCCTGCAGCTGGCTGTATACCATGTATCACAAAAGAGGTTTATTCTTTGTAAGTAGGTATATTTAAAAAACCCTTCAAAGGGCTACATCAAATTAACAATCGTTTTCGGAATAATAATTGCATCATCTGGTTAAAAGCAGGTTAACATGTCTAAGCCACCAAAATATTAGGGTAAAAACCCTTTAAAGAAAATAAAGTTACCAAAGATTGTACCTATTGATGTTCAAAATTAATGATGTTTAATGTTTTATTATATTTTACTTCAGGTAATATACACCCATGCCTTACGTGAATACCAGTGTCCGGAGGGTAGACCTCTTCAAACAGACTTCAGCTGGTAACTGAAGTTACTAGAAGTCACCAGTTACCAGCTGGGGCGGGCAGACACACCTCTATGTAGAAAGTGTGAACGAGAAGACGAATCTATAGACATAGAGCATGTCCTATGTGAATGCCCAGGGTTATCGTTAATACGAGAGTACGTGTTCAGCGAGTCCTGGCCCACATCTGCCCACATAAGAGAGATATGGTGACTATGGTGACCATTGATCAGCTGCCTGGGAGGATGCGCAATGGGTTAATTGTAGCCTATGTGCTGTGAAACTTAACTCGCCCTCCCTTCTCTACAGATACAGATGGGTAGCATCTCATGTCGAAATTAGTGGTAATGAAAAAGCTGATTGCTTTGCCAAAACAAGCTGCTTAGTCCATGAACACCATTATTCAAGTTCCGCTCCTATCGGAGATTCTGGCAAATATAATTTTGTTGGTTACACGCCTGAATAGTTTAATTGAACTGCATCCAAACCATTCACGGAGATTGCGTAGCCACGAGATTTTACGTCTTCCTACTCTTCTACGCCTTCTTCTACCTTTGATTTTACCCTGCATTATATTCCTTAGTAGTTCGTATTTTTTACCTCTCATGATGTGCCCCAAGTATTCTAATTTGTTGATTTTTATGGAATATAAAACTTCGCATTTTTTTCCTAGTTGTTCGAGAACTTGTTCGTTTGTTTTGCGATCCATCCATGATATTTTCAAAATACGTCGGCAACATCACATTTCGAATGCTTCTAGGTTTTTAATGTTGGATTTTTTAAGTGTCCAAGCTTCAACCCCATAGAAAAGGGTAGAGAAAATATAACATCGAAGCATTCTTAGATGTATGTAATCATGCGGAGATTGTATATAGGATATACCCGTATAATACATGGCTATCTGATGACTTCATCTCCACAATCAAAATATCTGCACTGCGATACGAGACTTCGAGTCAGACATATACTTATCGAATGTCCTTTTTATGCCAAAATAAGCCAACAGCTCGGTAGCAGTACTATCTTCAAAGAGGGCCTAAACAGCACAGATTAAATAAAGAGGGTGATTAAATTTATCAAGAAAAGTCAACTGCTAAACAAAATATAGTGTTAAATAAAAAAAATATATATTTTCCAATTTTCTAAAACTTTATTTTATATTACGCTAAAAATCACACATATAATCTTACATTTAAATCAAATACAATCCTGTCATTGCAATCGCAAATAAATATTTTCTATTTTTGCTACAGTATTACAAAAGTCCCAACAATTAATCAAACATATTAAATAAAAGTAAACAATATAAATATAAAATATTTTGTAACAAAAAACTAACATGTGATTATTTACAAAATGTGTCAAGATAGTGTCGTTTTAAAGTTATTTATTATACATGGGAATATTCTGAAACTTGGTTTTATTGTAAGTAGATATTCATACAATTAAATTAGATTTGTTTTATTAAATTATCTATATTTATAGTAAAGTTAAAGAAATTTTCCATTTACATTATAAAAAATTTCTAATTATATAAGATATTTCTTTACCTATAAAGCTTAAAAGTTTTACAATGCAGGAGAAGACTGGTGTAAAGGTTTTTTCAAACGTCACCCTGATTTAACCCTGGAACTGCACTGTTGGGTCTCAGAAACCCAGAAAGTCATTTATTGCAATGTGACATGCGCATGAGTGGTTTATGTGTGTCTTCACTTTATGTAAATTCAGTCTGTCGTAAGCAGAGTTAGAATACTCATCATCCGCTGCGTTTTAGTGAAACAACGAGGTAAGATATTTCCAGAAGTACAAGCATGGGTACCCCGGACCCAAGGGTGACGTTTACGGTAATAATTTTGTTTCAACATATTTTTATTTATTTTAGTATAATGGCGTCAACTAGTAGAGAAAATAGTTGAGTAAAGGCATCAACTAGCAGAGAAAATCGTCATCCTTTAACTGAGGTGAATTACAGAGAGAGGCAGACAATTTATGGGAGAATGAGAGTGAAAACGACATCGTAGACGATATGCCTGGAGGGGACGAGTCTGATGAAGATTACGTTGAAGAGCAACTGTCAGACAGCAACAGTGAACCATCGAAGCAGAAATAGTGGATGAAGCAGTTAGAACTATTCCTAGTTTACTGGGGTATATTGCATGGAACATAGAGCTCAGCCTGATGTGAATGTGATCATCAAGATCCAAGAAACTGAAGACCTGGCTAAGAATAACTAAGACTTATATTACCAAAAGAGTTTATTTTTTTGTTACAAGGATAGTTATACATGTGTATTTTGTAGATGATAATTTAATTCAACAAATATATCTCTTTGTGAAATACCACACCATGGTTAAATTTTTTTCTACACGTTCTACTAAGATTAGATATTCTCCCAAATCCATCAAATATTCACATTTTCTGTTTTTTTGCAAAAAACAGCTTTGGGTTTCTGAGACCCGAGTGTGAAGTTCATGCCTTAAAAAATAAGTGTGATGTATCAGGGTTAAGCTTAAGAAAAACCCGAAGCAACTTCTGGAGCACGGGCTATGGGATTCAATAGAGTAGCAGTATCGATTTTTTTTAATCTGCTTAATGTAATTCTGGACAAGCACGAATTAGAGTCCACTAGAATTTTTAACTGTGATGAAACGGGTATTAGCATGGTTCCCAAGCTGTTTTCGAAAATAATAGCTGTTAGAAAGCAACGTCAATTAGGTGTCTTAAGTTCTGCTGAAAGAGGCACTTGAAAGAGGCTCAAATTTGAAACAGTTCTCCCACCAGGAGGCTGGGCTGAAGTTAGCGACTCTGGTTGGATAACTGCAGAGATTTTCGTAAAATGACTACAACAGTTCATTCTGTTTTCTAAAGCGACGAAAGAATACCCAGTTCTGTTACTTTTTGACGGGCATACGTCAGACACTAAGAACTTGGCCGCAATAGATCTAGCACGTGACAATGGTATGTTAATATTGTGCTTCCCTCCTCATTACTCTCAAAAAATTCAACCATTGAAGGTTGCATTCATGAAGCCCTTAAGCTTGTATTATGAGGATGAAATAAGGAAGTGACCCAGGTCGCATCCAGGAAGAGTGGTTCAGATTTTCGATATATCAACACTTTTTGGCCAGGGTTTCTTAAGTGCAGCAAATATGAGAACTGTCACTAACGGCTTTGAAAAATCTCTAATCTTTTCATCCAATTTAAATAAATTCACCAATGATGACTTTCTACCATCAGCAACAACAGATATTTCCTTGGAAAATCTTGTTGGCAGTACAATCCAGGAAACATCGCCGGCTATACCAGAGACAACTGACTCAACGCCAACTACACTAGTACAAAAGCATTTCTCCTCACCCCATGTTGATCCCACACCCGTAGTTGATAATCCTGTCAAAAATAATCCATTCATTCCGACAAAATTTATGGTTGTCAGCAAAACGGAGTTACAACCAACGAACATCAGAGCGAATGGAATAGAGTTAGAAAGAGTCCACAATATTACCTACTTGTGTGCAAACGTTATCGATAACTGGGATATAAATAAAGAAATAAGAAATTAAAATAGCCAGAGCCGCCTTCTATAAATTAAAGAAAATTCTAATTATTAGGGATATTACGTTAAACCTTAAAATCAGATTAATACGCTGCTACATATTCTCCACATTACTGTATGGAAGGTATGGAGAACTGGACAGTTACAGAGACATTAATGAAAAAATTATAGGCCTTTGAGATGTGGATTTATCGACAAGTATTGCGGATAAGTTAGGTTGATCGAATAAGAAATGAAATAGTTTTACATCGAATGAAAAAGAGCACAGAAATAACAAAAACGATAAAAATTCGAAAGTTAAAATATTTCGGTCATGTAATGAGACATCCAGAGAGGTATAACCTTCTACATCTCATAATACAGGGTAAGATCGCCGGAAAGAGACTAATTTCGTTGCCAAAAGTTAAAGCCGGAACAAAAAGAGCTCTAAAAAAGCGTGGAAAGACTGCTGTCCTTACTGCCTTATTTTATAAGGTTGAACTGGACGAATCTTTAAAAAAGATCTGTCATAAAGGAAGCTAAAGAGAAAAAAATTAAACAGATTAATGTTTAAAAATGATCAAAGCAAACCCAGAGAAATGAAAACTCAACGAAAAAGGAAATAAAATAAGAGCAAACAGGTTAAAACTAAGGCAAAGAAACAAAAATATCTGAATATAGCGTAGAAGAAGAAGATACGGCCTGCTTGTATTGCCATTATTACTACTCTCCAATGAAGGCTGGTATTCTTGTAGCATTTGTAAGAAATGGGCACATCTAGCATGTGCTGGTTTAGATAGTGAAGGTGATGAAAGCGTTCTCGTCTGTGAATTTGGCCAATGATATTAGCTATAGTATTGGACACCCCATTGCGCTCCGGGAGGTGGGGCAGAATGCCATGCTTTTTTTGTTAGTTTCATTGAATATTGCAAAAATTACTATTAAACTTAGGTTCCCCGTTCCACCCCGGGTTCCCCTACAAGAAATTATTTAAATTAAAAAATACTTGACCTATATTTGAATAAGATTTTTTAAATAAATATTTTAATAGGTAGTAAAGATTTAATAAATTAAATCACACAAAACCAATAACAAGTACCATGTATAATATAAAATAAACTAAAAATATTATTTACTACGTATCCTCAACAGATTTCTTATTTTTCCGCCGTCTTTTGCTTTTAATATTTGATAAAATTTCGTACGCTTGTTGAATTTCCATAAATCTTTCTTGTGCAGCTCGCTGCTTTTCTGGATCCTTTACTTTATCTGGATGGAATTCCCTGCTAAGTGCTCTCCATTTCAACGTGATTTCTGACTGACTAGACGTGGGACCCACTCCTAAAACTTTATAAGCGTTTTGTTCACCTTGCGGATCGGACAGGTCTATAATCTGTTTCCATATTTCATACCTAAAAACAAGTTGCATTGTTTAATTTAAAAAATTAATATTTACAGTGTTACAACTTTGTCTAATTGTTAGAATATTGTTGTAGTTATGTTCTTTTATTCGAAATTAATGCCCCATCTAAATATCCAAAACGTTAAATAAGGTATTAAGAGGATATCAGAATGAAATCTGCTATATATATTTGGATGATATAATTGTTTTTTCATCATGATTTCAAGAACATGGTAAGTCGCTTAAACCAATTTTTGAAAGACAATCTAATTTAACCCGTCATTTTTCGCGTATCACGAAATGGCGCGATTGTTTGCCTATGGGCGTTGCTCTCAGTCGCCTTTTTCTTCTCATTTAATTATATTTTATTAGGATATTCAATAATTAACGAAACTTAGTGGGTTGCTGGTTGTTCAAAAATGTTATTAATGATAAATAACATGAATTTATGTCCTTTTGATTAATGAAATAATACATATAAAAAAAATGTAAAAGATAAAAGAAATGTGAACACTGTATTTCCTCTCATAGCATTTATTGTGGTATATTTGACATATTGTAATTGTATGTTCCATCCTGCTTTATTGATTTCGAAAAGGCCTTTGACAAAGTACAACATGAACCACTAAGACAAGTTCTAATAAAGAAAAATATAGACAGCCGAGATATTCGAATTATATGCAATCTATATTGGAATCAAACAGTAAATGTCAAGGTTGAGGGCAGACTAACAGAAGAAATTCAATTTCGTCGAGGAGTCCGGCAGGGATGTATCTTATCGCCACTTTTATTTAATCTGTATAGTGAAGCTATCTGTGAACAAGCACTCGAGGAAGAAGATCTTGGTCTGATATTAAATGGTGAGACGATCAACAATATAAGGTATGCTGACGATACAGTTCTCCTTACGGGAACGCTAGTAGAACTACAACATCTCGTTCAAAGTCTCAATATATACTGTAACAGTTACGGCTTGAAAATTAATTTGAAAAAAAACTAAATTTATGGTAATCACGAAATCAAAGAACATCAGAGTTAATCTTGTAAGTAATAGACAATACAACGATTGAGCGTGTGCCCTGTTATAAATATCTAGGTGCTTGGATCACAGACGATACTGATCAAACAAAAGAGATTAGATGTAGAATAGAAATCGCTAGATCAGTCTTTAATAGAATGCGCAAACTCTTTTGCAATCGTGATATCAATATAAAGTTACGTATACGAATGCTGCGGTGTTATGTCTTTTCTACCCTGTTATATGGAGTTGAGGCTTGGACACTAAAACAGTTGACCATAAAAAACATCGAAGCTTTTGAGATGTGGTGCTATAGGCGCATTCTCAGAATATCATGGATGGACCGCGTCACTAACACGCAAGTACTCCAAACTTTAGACAAAAGATGCGAAATTCTAAATGAGATAAAAACTAGAAAGATGGAATACTTGGGGCACATTGTGAGAGGTGAAAAGTACGAACTTTTAAGAAACATCATGCAGGGCAAAATTAATGGCAAAAGAAGTGTGGGAAGAAGAAAAATATCGTGGCTTCGTAATCTACGTGAATGGTTCGGGTGTTGTTCGATTGAACTTTTTAGGTGCGCTGCTAACAAAGTCGCAGTGGCCATGATGAGTTCCAATCTCCGCTAGGAGTGGCACGAGAAGAAGAAGAATTGTATGTTCACCACAAATAGGTTTTGCACAAATTGCACACATTGTAATGGATTTTTAGTTCGAGGACAGTAAAAACATTCTGCAATTGCTACTGAAGTTTCTTTATCAGGAAGACCTGCTGGCGTCTTATTTGAAGTCGTAATAATATTGGTAATGTTCTTATTGATGCACGACTTATCATGTGGTGTCTGATGAGATCTGTACTAATTTCTCTTGGATAGTCATGGCGTTCTATTTTATATTAGTATTTCAGTAATAAATTACCTGACTATTTATTCCTGTAATATTCATCGATGAAAAAAAAAATGTAAGTGACCATCGGCAACTTATTCGAGAAACAGAGTAATTACATTTCATCTGGTCCATAACATATACCGCTCCATTTGTCATATTGTAAGGTTATAACCTGCGACTTGTTCGTAAGTTTTCACCCGTTTCTTCATTGATTGGGTCATCATCATGAAACGTAGATAACATTAGAACATTTTTGTTTTTCTTGGAAGCGTAAGATAGTAAAAGACAGTCTTTACCTTAACCAAAAATGCTGTACTGTATCGAAGGCCTTGTAATAGTCAGCCAAGCATAAATATATTTCTATGTTAAACTCTCGAGATTTTTTGATAATTTGACGAATATTAATAATATTTTCTCTTGTTCCTCTATCTAGTAATATTCCTCATTGTTCTTGTGAAATTACAGTAAGAACAAAAATAATGATCGTAGAAAGAGCTAATAATAATCTACCGCATATACACCAAGTAGCGAATTTCGAAGTGGTAGACAGGTTAGTATCTGTCAATGTGATAGACAATGGCAATTGCTCCTCAGAAATCAAGCGTAGACCAGCAGTGGCCCGAACAGCAACAGCTAAATTAATTAAAATATGGAAAGACCGAATAATAACAAGGAATACTAAACTCAGATTGGTCAATGCCCTTATGTTTCTCATTGCTATATACGCAGCTGAAACATGAATTATCTAAGCCTTTAAAATGTGGGTCTTTGAAAAATTATACGCGTGTCCTGGACTGAACATAGAACCAGCATGTCAATTCTGGAAGAGCTTTATATAAAAGACAAGCGAGTAAAAAAAGAAAACCGAGCATACATCGGCCACATAGCTAGACAAGGACCATGGAACTATTGGTAGTAGAAGGAATGGTAGAAGGCCAAAGACCAAGAGGAACATCTCCTACACGGCGGGTCTACCAAATGAAGACTCTGGGGAAAAAATCACTACATGAAGCCGTTTATATGGCATAAGATTGCAGCCAATGAAAATATCAAACTAACAATAATTAATATTGTTCTGAAGCTATTTTCTTGTGGCATTTTAAATTAATTAATTAACAATAATTAGAGTGTCACCACGCCATGACAAGGGCTAAAGGAATGGGGAGAAGGGATGCGTGTACATTTTTCAAAATTTTTAAATTGATTGCAACCCACCGAAAAAAATTTCATTTGCATCATTGTAGATCAAATTAACTTACCATCCATGATGTTGTGCATATACATAAATATCGTGTAGAGATTGTTTAAGATCAGTCCACCAAGGTGATGTAAAGAAGTGATGCAGCGCTTCATGGATCGGTATCTCATCTCCGTTAGAGTCCGTTATTTTTCCATTGAAGTAAAAGTAAGAACTCCACAAGGCACAGTATATCGCAGCACAAAAAAATAAAACTGACATCCTAGTACAAAAAGATCTCTTCTTTCTGGGAGTTCGTCTCCACTCTTTTGAAAACGTGTCAAAAGCTAGACCGGAACAAAACACCATTATGCTGAGCCAGGTACTGTCATCGAAAAAGTACCAACGGGATGAGTATGTGATATATGACACTGCTATTGAAATCCAAGGTTTTCCTCGTTCACGTCCTATATTTCCGACTATCCATACACCTGCAAGATATGCAGCATTATTTAGTTATAATCTATTAAAAGTGTTTTCAATGAATATTATAAGATGTACGCAAAAATCTGGCGTCCCTTGGCCGCCACGGGACGAAACTGTTATGAAGCATAGCCATAATGTTATTTTGAAAAATACACTCAGGTGCAAAAAAATCGATCCATTTCTTATTTACATTTGGGAATTGGGAATTAAGAATTAAGAAGAATAATTAACTAATTATCTTTTATTAAGAATAAAATACAAACCTAATGCAACGCCTAGAGGGATCAACCAGTGAAAGTATGGGTTCCAATTAATTCCGTAGACTTCATCTTCTGGTATAGCTAACATTACCAGCTGCCCCCAGAGATAACCAACCATAATAGCGGAAATAAATCTACTGGTAGAAAATGGTGGCTAAAAAAAAACAAAAAGGATATATAGGTTTATTAAAATAAATATTAAACTATTACATTATATATAAAGATAAAATTAATTGGAAGTTGTCTTATTTTTATTAATAACTAGCTGACCCGCCGAACATCGTATTGTCTTAATAATGTATCAAAGTTCAATAAGATCCTCTATTGAGTATGTTAAGCAACAGAAATCTCTGAGTAATGAAATTAATACAGGCGAGGTGTCAATAGCGACTCTACTATTTCCTATATATAACAACTGCTTCGAAAACACAATTGCACTTTGATCTTGTTGCAAAAACACTAGCATGTTATTTGCCACTTGGAACGTCTTTACATGCCGCCACAAATTGGATGATGTTAGACATGCGTTTAGTTCATTCACAGCAGTTAATTGGGGAATAATTATTAAATAAGGAAGAGTCTGTGTTAAAACCTAAATGACCTGACGACGCCCCTGTCGTCTTTTGCATCCCGGTGTCAGTTTGTCGCGAAGGTAAGATAAGAAGTCCCGTTACGACATATCGGTAAGGCATCTGGCTGAATTCAACCCAGTGTTGTCAGAAGTACGATAATTATCGTATTTGTACGATAATTACAGTTATTGGATGATGTACGATCAATATTGAATAAATGTACGATAATTTCTGAATGTTGATTAAAAAATATATACTAAAGGCAGAAGTACCTCGAAACGGCGATTGCTAAACTGTATTTAAGATCGATATAAGTTTCCAGACAAATTCTGACGATTCCATTTCTTTTATACGTTGTGACGAGATTCTTATTAGCTTCGGCGCCGCTGCCTGATAGTTCGTTGTTTTTCGGGGAATCTCGGGCGAGCGATTTTCAGCAAATGACAATGTTTCTGTTTGTATGATTGTATCGTGCGTGTGATCGTACGTACCCTGACTGATATAATTTATATGATCGGAGTTTAGTTTCTATTGTGAGGTTATATTAAAAATGTCTTCACCTTCCTCCAACAGTGAAAACGAGAGTCCTTCAACATGTGAACAATTTAAAATTATTGGTAAAGTAGTTGCAAAATATAGACTACAAAAATATCGTAAAGCATGGGAATCTTTGGCAGACTATACGGGTTGGTTGACTGAGGCTACAGGTAGAGGTAAGTTTTTTTAAATTTTGTTAGCAGCTAAGCATGTAAGTAATTATTTTTATATTTTAGATTTTGGAAAAGCTTTTTGTCGTGCGTTCAATAATATTATGACTGCCGAAATTATAGTGATAAAAAATCACTCAAAATCAGCTAAGCGTATGCGAATGGTTAAAGTAATACCAAAAACTAATATATCTACTATGTTTAAAAAAGTAGAAAATCCGTTAGAAACGCAAATAAAAAGAACGGAATTAAAACTAACGTGATTTTTACCTGAGCATAATATTTCATTCACATTTAACAGACATTTTAACTGAGTGTTTCTCCGATTCTAAAATCGCAAAGGGAATTAAACTACATCGAACCAAGGCTACAAAAATTGCAACAAATGTAATTGGTTTTTACAGAGAAGAAAAATTAAACGCGCTTTTAAAAATCACAAAATTTAGTATGATAGTTGACGAAACAAAAGACATCGCCTCGGTGAAAACTTGCGTTGTGCATTTGCGTTAGATTTGTTCATCCTAAATTTGGAAAAATTGTGACACTATTATGGAACCTTATTCAGATATTCTCTGGAAATGAACCCAATCAGGCAAATATAGGAGCCACATCTGAAAGAATATTTACAGAATACAGAATGAATTTTCATCTAAAAATATTCCTTTCACTAACATTATTGGATTTGGCTCAGACGAATGCAATACGATGTTTGGGAAATATAATTCTGTTGCAAGTAAATTAAAAGATGCTCTTCCTGGAGTTATGGTTCAAAAATGTATACCTATGCCGTTCACTTCATTTATGCGCAAGTGAGGCTTGCAAGTCTTTGTCCAGAAGATGTAATGATATGGCAAGAAATATATATAATTTTTTCAAAAACATTGCAAAAAAACAGGTTTCGTTTAAAGAGTTTCGGGTTTTTTGTAACGTAGATCCTCGCCAAATATTGCGACCAGCACAAACCAGATGGTTTCCTTTGTTGCCTGTAATGAAAAGAATATTAGAACAGTGGAAACCATTACGGTTATTTTTAACTCCACTTATATTGAGCATCGAGTTCTGGCCAGTGAAGAAATATATAAGTAATGACCTTAATGACGAAGCAATAAAACTGTTTTATTTATTTTTTAGAGTGGATTTTGCCGAAATTTGTTGATAATATCAACAAATATTTTTAGAGCGAGAAAGTCGTTATAATGAAATTGCTTACGCAAATGGTCAATACCACAGCCACCTTTTCCTTCTAAGCCATGAAGTAGAAATTTGGCAACAACGTGTGGTAGTCCGACTGTGGTTTGTTTTGGTTTAACATTTCGTATAGGAAGGCTTGTAAAGTTTGTTGAATTTATTGTTTTTTAACTTTATTCGAATGTTTTATTTGTAAATTGTGTTTAAATCAATTAGAAAATATTAATATAAGTAAAATTTCATTAAATTTAGAACTTTTAGAAGATTCTTAACAATTTAAAAGGCAAGTATAAATATAACCTACAAAACAAACTGAAAATAATAATACTTTTGCTTCTTGTTACAAAATATGTAAACTAAAAACAACAATAATAATACTTTTGTTTTTTGTTACAGATGCTCTGGCATTGTTGTGTACCTGGTTGCAAAACCAATTATGCCAGTACTTTAAAAACGAAACAGGCAGAAAGTATGTTTTTGTTTCCAAAAGATCCCCAAAGAAGGTATACTGGCTTATGCTCTATTCATAGAGAAGGCTGTACAATTACCAAATCTTCCGTAGTATGTGCCAAACATTTTCATGAACATTGAAAAGTTAATATTTCCCAAATTAAAAGGCAATGCAGTTCCTAATATATTTCCTGAAGTACCATCATATGTAACTGTTCATCGTACTAAAGAAATAAGGAATCCCGAAGACAGAAGAAACTTTTTGCATAAGAAGAGGGAACAAGAGATAACATAATTATGTCAATTAGACTTAGACAATAATATCCCATTGAAAAACTGGACAAATAAAATTACAAGTGACTGTGTATATTTCTATGTATTAAACATTAATCAGTTGGAACACAAGTGTGATAATATTTGTGTAATATGTAGTGTAATAGTTAGCAGTAATTTGTGTGTAATTGTTAATGTAGGTAAGAATAGATTAAGTGGTAATGATTTGAAATGGATTTTACAATATATTAAATTAACAAGATGGTCACAATTAGAGAACTTACTTTCTCATTTAGATCTGCTTTTTAGATAAGTGATAACAAATTTGAGTATTACATTCAAAAATCTTTTGAGAATATAGGCTATTTTAAATCGATATACAAGTTATAAATGGTATGTTACATTCAACACATTTTTCATGTATACCTCTTTTAACTTGGTCTATATGACAACAAACCTATTCATATTTAAAATTGCTACTTTTGTATATCTAAGTATGAAAATTCAACAAAAGTTATAATAAATAGTAAAATATTTAATTTTCAATTAGATTAATTTAGAACCATATTTATATTGTGTCTGATTTCTTAGGATGAATTTTTTAATCATAATAGTTACACTAAGTTTTTACTTAGCACAAATTTTATATCTTTTGTATTTTTAATAATCTTTTTAAATGTCGTGTTAATGTATTGTGTTATTTATATGCTTAGGTACTTAATATTTAAAATTTCTAGAGATTCTTGACTGCATTTGATTGTAAGATTAACTGTTTGACACTGTATTTTAAGTGCAATAAATTTTACTCTAGTGATTATTTTATTGATAATATAACCTAAATAATAATAAAACTTTATATATATTTACTAGGTATATATAAGGTTTTATTAATTTAATTTCCCTAAAAATATTTCTGTAATGAATTGAAGTTTTCAAAATATCAGTTTCCTAAAATTCAAATTAGTTTAATATTCTGGTAGACCTTACAGCTGATTATCGGACTACCGACGTCATAGAATGCGGTGTTGCCTTTTTTACTTCATGGCTTGGAAGTAAAGGTGGCTGTGTCAATACCCATAAAGATTTATTAATGGCGTACATGGATCCTCAATATGTAAGGCAAACAGGTATAGACAAAATTGTTTAGATTTAGATAATATCTATCTCGGAATTGGCGTTCTCAGAAATACTAATGATTTAGAAAATGATATTGAACAAGATTTTTATGAGAGATGCAGACGGTTTTTAATTAATTCTTGTTTATGAATTAAAAAGAGGTATGACTTTGCAGATCCTATTCTTAGCAAACTAATTATGTTAGAAAAATGCAGTATTAAACACGTTAATACACTTTTTCCATTGAAGGAATTATTACCACGTATTTGTGATCCACAAGACTTTGATAAAATGCAGAAAATTTTAGAAGAACTGCCACTTGAAGAGAATCTTGATTTATTTTATTGCAAGTTAGGTCAGATCACAAATTTCGAGGGTAATTATTTGTTTAAAGACATAAATGAATTTGCTTTGTGTGCGTTATCATTGCCTCACTCTAGTGCATGCTGTGAACGAATTTTTTCCAACGTTAATTTAATAAAAACTAAAGTCAGAAATAAAATCATTAAAAAAACATTAAATGGAATTATGCACTTATATCAGCGTATTAATTTGGATAATGGATGTGCAAGTTTCCAACCTACAGATGAAATGATAAAATCCATGACATCCTTTAAAATGTATGGACAAAAGTAAATGTATGGACGTAGTAAGGGAAGACCGATATAATATTCTTCAAATTATTATGATGGGTAAAATCGAAGGACGCAGAGGAATTGGTAGAAAGCAGGCCTCTTGGTTGAAGAATATCAGAGAGTGGACAGGAATAAAGAAAGCTGAGCAACTCTTTAGAATAGCTCGAGACAGAGACAGTTTCGCCATGTTAATCGCCAACGTCAAGGGGACTTGATAGGGCACGTTAAGAAGAAGAAGGACAAAAGCAATTGGAAGATAAAGATCAGGAAGAACTACAAGAAGAAATTATTTTTGAAACTTTATCTGAACAAGAATAAGTTGTTATTTTTTTTTGTTTTGTATTATGTTTATCAATAAAATAATTTTAAAATTAGACTAACCCTAGCCTTAACCCTTTAAACTAACCAGCCTTCGATGACCTGCTCAAGGTAAGTCGGTTGTACGCTAAGATTATTTAAAAACGATAAAATCTACAGCATTGTACAATATTTTCGTTTTGATCATCTGGCAACACTGTCAACCTCCGGTCGGGAAGAACATTCCGTTTCAAGACATCGAACTAGAAACATGCAATAATAACATATTTGTAACATTTATTTTTATTTTGATTATTACAATTAAGAAGTATTTAACAGTTTCATTTACGGTCTTGAGTTTTTTACTAAAACCACGAGAAGTCCTAATAACATTAACCAACAAGTAACTGGAAGAATTCAAGATTCCGTTTTCCATTGAACAGTTATCACAACAGTCTGACCATAAAATCATAGCTCCACCAAAAATTTTTTAATTGTCACGGATATCTTTCAATCGCTTACAAACGTTAGCGTTACCAACATCACTTTACATGTCCAACAGTTTTCTTTTGATTGAATTGGTAGAAATCAGATTTCCCGAATGTTCAATCGCCATTACCACCGGTGAAAAACGATCAAATAATCCCGTCAATAGTAGCGAGCCTATCCACTTATCATCAATTTTAAAACCAGGATCACTCAATTTTTGTTCTCAATAGATCAGTGGAATATAACCTAGTATACAACCTTCTAACTAATCTAGTATACAACGTTTATCCATTTACCGACGGAAAAAGTGGTCTGGGCTCATAACCTGCTAAAACTTAGAAATGAAACGAACCAGATGAGTACACAGTTCAGACTAACTTTATTTTGTTCCAAAATGAATGCAATTGACAGTTTGTACCAATCTTAACTTCCTGTAAATGACATATGGCACTAATATTTAAATTTTGTTTAGTTGATATCAATATTTTAACATTATTTGCAGAGAGATCTCAATTTATTTTCTTCTTTCTAAAGTTTTTTAGCCTGTGGTAGTCAGTTTTTGGTTAATTTCCAAGTTAAAAGTAGTTGAAGAACGATTAATATCCGACGTTGCCGTATTTAACTGAAAAGCGTTTATTGGATTCCGCTAAAAAAATGTAGAATGTCTATGTTACTTAAAAGTGTAAAAGAACCGTTAAAAGTTCAATGAAAAGTTCAATTGTAGATGTCTCTGTTAAACTTAACGGAAATATTATAGAATACACCCAATTATAAAGTAACAAATAATGATATTCCCGGCTTACCCTCTGTAATAT